AAAACTGTTAAGCAGTTGTGCGCAGAAAGAGACTGATGATGATCAGTTATAGTGCAAGTCAAATTAATCAGCATAGATAGGCATTTATGAAAGGTCAAAAGCTGCCCTAAAATGTCATTTTAGGAGGCAATAATGGGTAAAAATAAAACTTGATAATTGCATCATTCAAATGCAGTCACAATTGAGGTGCATAGAAATAAAAAAAAAAAAAGTAATGATAATACATTATTTCTTTTTCCCCCTCCCCTTCCTACTCTCTCTTATTACTCTCCTTCTTGTATTCCCTCTTAGGAATACTGCTATATTTGTCAAAGCTGTATAACTTAAGGTAAATAAGAATGAAGCAAAAAAAAAAACCAATAAAAGAATATAAAAACAAAAAGTTTTTTTTCTTTCTTCTTTTTCTTTTATTTTTTAAAGGTAATAACGCTTGAAAGACTTTTAGTTTTATAAATACATATATTTTTTCCAGTCTTTAATCTAAGAATTCATTATTCACTAAAGCCAACACTATCACCATCGTCAACAACGCTGACAGCATCAGCATCAGCATCAGCATCTGCATCTGCATCAGCATCAGCATCAACAGCAGCATCAACAGCAGCAGCAGCAACAGAGCAGTAAGAGCACCAACGACGACGACGACGATAGCAACAACAACAACAACGACAACAACAATCCATATCTTCGACAATCTTTTCTAATGGTTGAATACCTAAATTTGTTTGATATAATGACAATCACAGAAACAATCAGATAAACAGCTCAACAGATATTTTCTTGTTTTCGTTACTAGAAGAGAAAAAAATTTATCTCCTTTTTTTTTTTTTTTGCTTTTGCAATACGAAGATGGCAACAACAACAGCAACAATGACGAAGCCATTAAAAACTAAAAAATGACAGACAACAGATTCTTTGACAAATAAGCGGCATCTTTTCATTTTTGAGAAACTGCAAAAGGTAGTTTAGCCTTATCCAAACATACTTTCTTTGCACTTTGTTTCCCAGATTTCCATTTCACTTTTCCTTTCCTTTATCGTGGCCACGCTCACTTCTCGGCTCCAAATTGCTTTCCAAAGATTCCAGAGTTCGTCATTATTATTCTCATAAATATTCAAAAAGCATGCCCTCCTCTCTCTCCCCTCTCCCCTCCACTTTTTTTTCTCCTCGTTTTCCCCGTATAAAAAATTCTATACAATCTACTGCTACTGCTACTGCTGCTGCTTCTGCTTTCAACATCAAAACGAACAATAACAGTCGATCAATCTAACTAACTAACTCTCGAAACAAATATACCACATTTACACGCAGAAACCCTTTTCAACATTAACAACTGGACGAAATATCTTCATACTTTTTCCATCTCGTCAGCCGTTTACAACACTTTTCTTAAAGTGTTCGCTAGCGTTTGTTTTTTTTTTCTTTTTTTTTTTTGCTTCGTTTCAATCTCCTTAGTTTTACACGATAAATTATTTACAGATTCAATGTTACATTCTGACTAATAGATTAAAATTTACGAAAAATATTTGCTGACACAATAACTAACTCATCATATAACCATAAACAGAAAAAATTAATTAAATACATTTCAACAAGTAGAGATACTGTACAAATACGATGGATACTTATGCCAAACAATGGAAAAGAAAGAAACACCAATTTAAAGTGCAGCAGTTTTTGAAATCTTTACAAAAATTCATTTTTTAAATGGCCTACAATAATTTTATTTCTTTCTTCATTTATTTATTTATTCATTTTATTTATTTGGCAGAAACATTAAGCTAATAATAAAGTTTATTCGGCTTTCTGTTGCCAATGCTTATAGCGTGCAAACTAAGGTCAAACAAGTCACGTTAAGCCACGGGTCCTTCTTACACCATATTCACGCATTATATGTCCACAGATATGTGTTATGTGTTAACTCTTTCAATCTTTATATCCAAATAATAGTTTTTCAGCTATTCCACTGCTTTTTCAATTTCCTTACTTCTTTTTTATTTTTTCATTTCCTATATCACTTCAATAAAATATATACATCTATCTATCAAAAAATATAAGCTTTTAAAAATTACGCAATTATTATACCATAAACAAACGATGAATTTTCTTACGCATTAAAAATATTAAAGATATCAGCCACATAACCGTCAGGTAACTTTTTGCAGCTTCAAAAGAAAAAAAAAGGAAGGGAGAAGAGCAAATAGAAATCTTCGATAACAGTAATTCTCAGATAAACACCAAAAAAATGCTGTCCTTGCTCTGATATAGCTGATAAAATTTAGTAAAAAAAACTGCGATATAGTGATCAGTGAACAGAGAAAAATCAAAGTTTAAGCACAGCTTCTTCCGACAACTCTTAGCTTCCAGCGTTCATTTCCCCTCATCTTGTGCAAAAGTCTACTTAAATAATTAGCAGTCAGCACCTAGCTCAAATATACAGCAACTATACACTACTAACCAACATTACCTTGCCTTTGCAGTTAACCAATCTAAATTAACAACCAACTTTCTAGATTCTTCAAAAACTCACATCAGACAAAGCTTATTAAAAGAAATGTTTGCTGCTTAACCGAGCCAACATAATACGCTCGAAAAAAAAATCCAATTCAAGCCAAACAAACTACTATCAAAATTATTTTTTGATGTTAATTTTTCCAAAATAAATTTTTTTTAATAAAAGAAGCTTGTTTAGAGTAAAGAATTGGCTGAAGTTTTAAATTAATGCCAAAAAAATTTATACAATCTAAAAAAGTATTTGTTTCAGATATGCTTTTAAAAACACAGAATAAAAGAGATTGATGGTTATAAATATACGTATAGATAAATAAATAAATATATAAAGATGTATATATACATATATATATATATATATATATATATACCGTTTATATATGTAGTAGCCATAAAATGTTGATATATCCATATAATTTTCTATCCATAAGCTTCATTGCTACAGAAGTAATAAATATTTAATTATTACTATTATTATTATTACTATTAGCATTTTACTTCAGCAAAAAAAAAAAAAAGAC